CTGCAGTAGGTTACTGTGCTAAAAGCACTGTGATATTTGTTCAGAAAGGGCACTCTAGGTTGGATGCAGTGTTCTGTACAAGAACAACTCTTGAATTCTTCAGATATCCTGAATCTCTTCATCTGTAATCTAAATAGAGCTAGTGAAGGGCCGTTATTCCCATGGAAGCACAGAAGTGTTGGCAGGGGATTTCCACTTTGCTGAGAATGCCTTCAGTTTCATCTGTTAGACCTAACATTACAGTGATTTGAGAAGGTGGCAGTCTCAAAGGGGGAGTTCTTGTGTATGTTTTTCTCTGAAATCTGTTTGCTTTCCATAGGTAAGAAATTCGTGAGTAAACATTTCCATTATAAACCCTTTCATATTCTTTTTAAATGTGCTTTTATGCCAGCTCTCCTATGTTATTGCAAAAGTATTAGTGAACATTATCAGCACAGAACATAACAAATTAATGCTTAGCAGCCCAAGTCACCTAAGGGATACCAAAGGTCTATCTTAAATTGCAGCAGGTACATAGCAGTGTTAAGGCTGAAATGTATGGTGACAGTGGTTTGATTTAATGCTTAGAAAGTAAGGCTGGAAGTTCAGGTTCACCTGAAGGCTCCTGCCTCCACTGTAAGAATCCAGAAATTAAAACAGATTCTGTTTATGATTGATTAACTCTTATCACTGAACAGAAAGTGCAAAAATATTAGTTTCAAGTGCAGGTCCCATAACAGATGCTTTCCTTCAGGGAACATGAGGAAAACTGGTTTCAACATTACCACATCACATTGCGAATTGAGAACTTCAAGTTTTATCTCTCATTCAGACTAATTGGGACATTCAGATTGTTTCTGCTCCAGTATCCATCCTGGAAAACAGGCACACTAATTCCCTCAGCCACACCTGGCGTGTGCTGGCGGTTAGAGCAAGCTTTTTGGGCCAGATCCTGCTGATGGTTTCCCCTCTCCAGGATGGAGGCAGCTACTTCCCATGGGCAAGACAATACCAATGCTGGAATAGCAACCTGTGTCTGCATCGCTTGCCGTGCAAGTCAGAGTTGGTACAGCTCCACCACTGGTCTGTCACTGCCCTTTCTCACAGGAAGCAAGAGTTACTTGTAAGCTGTAGTTTGAAGAGCTCTGAAATGTGGTATACAATGAAGGACATGTTCCAAGCCTGGATTTCTTCTGAAGAGCAGGGATGAAAAATACCCATGGTAACAGTGGCACCCTATGTGCAGGAAGGTCAGCTCGATTTGTCTGATGTTTATGCGATATTGGCTGGGGAGGAATTCAAGGTGTTTTCTAGTAGCTCCCTCTCCTTATTTCAGACCTTTTTGTTGATGGAAAGATGACTTACTGCCTTGCTGAAACACCTCTCTCTGGTTCCTGATAACTGCCAGGTTAACAGTCAGAACACTCTGCAGGTGTAGGTTTTATCTTGAGAGATGCACTGTCTGGGTTAGGACCCAGCACTGCACACACCTGATTTTTTTATTCGTTCTGGTGCACCCCAGCTCCCCTTCTGTCTCTCCCCTCCACTGTCCACCCAGACCTCAGCAATGCTCAGCGGTTGTTTTCAAAACAGAGTCAAGTTCCTCGTTATTGCTCTTTCTGGTCTTATCTGTGTGGAGCTGCCTTGGAAATGTTCTGCACCATCCAGGCAGACAGACAGTGAGCCATGAGCAGCACTTCTCCTCATCACAATGAACTCACTGTTAACATCTTATTTTCCTATTGTTCCTTGTTGTACGCTTGGGACCATAAGCCTTCTATGACATGAGTACGTGTTGTACACAATGAGACCTCAGTGACTCAGTGGGGTTGGACTTCTATTACAGTAGAAATAATAATGTTATTTTATTGATGCTTTTGAATAGGATTTGCTGAAAAATAAAGGAAATATGGGATATGGATCATGTTACCATAAAACCACATGCAACTAAACGTTCATCTGTCTCCAACATTTCATGTCTTCTGGGCATCCGAGATAGCTGAGTTTGATTTACACAATCAAGCCATTCATTAAATATCTGTTTGAGTTTCAGGCAGATGCATCCTTCACCTGAGTGATGAAAGCTGACTACAGGAAATGGAGCTATTCCTTTGTGAAAAGACCCCATTCTGCTTTATAAAGTGAGCCTTCCAGCAATATACTTCTAGAAAACTGCCAGGCTTTGTATACCAGATATCATTGTAAGGGCTCAGCAATAAAAAAGTTGTGGACTTGGTGTCGATCCAACCACACAATAGCACATCTTTATGCAATATTTCCTCTTTCAACATACATCTCCAACACTGTAATTCACTGACAACTGTCAGTTCATCTTAATTCCAAAATTCTAGCCCAGAACACAAAGTGGTTTAGAGTCTGAATTCTTATGTGGGCATATTAATTACTGAAATCACTAGTCCAAATCATGTTCAGAGGAGTGCTTGCTGAGAATCCTTCAGGAGCAGACTGATGTATTGCTTACTATCGCCTGCCAGAGTATGCTGTAAGTAAGTCAGAAGCATGCTGAGTATATCCTATCAGCAATACTTGGTATAGCTTGCTGTTGTCAGAGAACTGACGGTTAAAGAAGGGAAAACCGGCAAATAATGTTAGAGAATGTATGTATATGAAAGGATGCAGTGAATCAATGTAGTCCCTACTAGGGATTGGCTTGGAAACTTCTTAGTTGAGTCATTTTTAGGAAAATAAGTATTCCCAGGCAGATGGGGGAGGCTGTAAAACCTAATGCTGTGTTGAATGAGGCTTCATACCTTGCAAACCACCTTGCAGAGCAATACATGCAGGGAGGAATCACACTGGTTCTGTGATAAACAAGTTTCCACTGTCTTGATGAGAGAAGGGGTAGCTCAGTTTTGCCTTCCATATGGCAGGAGGAGGGGGAGGCAATGGTATGTTTGTGTTTTTTAGCTTTTGTGTTGTTCTGAAAATAGAGCCATGAAGTTAGGTCTATTTTGCCTTTTTGTGCCTGAAATAGGCACAGCCCAAGCCAGCTGCTTCAATGGTAGGGTAGTCAGTCAAATGAGAAACATCTTCTGCTCTTAAAAGGCAACTACAATACATTCCCTCTGTTGAATAACCAGGCATGCATTCCTCACTCACCAGTATAATGGGACCTTCAAGAGTAGTGAAGTTTCACATGACCCTGGCACATTTGCCTGACTTTGAGTGCCTGAAAGGAATGACCTCCATCCCATTCATCATAACAGCTTGTTAACACTCAAACCCACTGTTTTGAGGAGTCCCTGCCAATATTAACCCATACAAGACCTGCATGGTGGGGGCACGGTTAGGCAGAGGGGTCACACTTAGCTCTGGTGGCTAAAGTTCCACTGCCCCAAAGGACAGGGTTTTCTTGCGGGGCAGCAGTTGTTGCTCCCCCTGCCCAGAACTGGAGACTGCTCAAAGTCACAGACATCAGCCAGCTACACAGCAGCAGAGACCAGGGAGAAAACAGGGCAGTGTTTAATAAAGACATTACAAGACAATCGACACAAACACAGATGAATGCATTCACCACTTGCATTACTTGGTATTTACTTATAAGCTCTATATTTTATTCATGAATTTTACAATTCCAAATATAGTGAAACAGTTAGAGTACTTTATTACAAAGCTTATAAAATAATTAAATATTACACTTATATTTTTTGCTTTTTTTACATCATAATTCATATTTGTGACACTACCATTTTCTTTCCTCAGTTGTCACTTAAGGAAGGGAGCAAAGAAATATAAAGGAAAAGCTATGCATTAATAAATTAATTATTTTACATCAAATAATAAAAAGGACACAATTATAAAAACAAGACAAAAAACCCCCATGTAGTTCTCCTAGAAAAAAGGTTATAATTACACAACGTCCAATATCGAGACAGAACAGTGTAGGCTGAGATATGTTTCCAATAATCATTTCTTAAAGTATCATAGCATACATGGTTTTAATTTAAATTGTTGCAGAAGGAACTGCTAATTTTAAGTGACCACTGTCTGCCATTAGTGCTGAGCTGGCTAATCTGCCGCTGAAACGATACTTTAAAGAAACAGTAAAACTGAACTACATTCATCAAATGGAGTTGTGGGATTGGGTGGAATTCGATAAATATGGCCTTCACAGGCGCTCCCCAGAAAATTACAGTAGGACACATCCCCATCTCAGAATGGTTTGGCAAAGAGCCTAGAGGTTTTTCAATGCAGAAACCTTAAACTGTAGCATAGTGTCACCGAGCATCGTGATACTGAATGATCACAAATATCATTCTGTTTACATTTCTTTTGTTTACCGGTGAATTTTGAACTAAATAAAACTATCAGGAGAATGTATAAAAATAGAATTGCCTTTCATTGGTTAGAGTACATCATCCACTTTTTTTTTTTTTTTTTTTTTTTTTTTTAATATAACCTGTGTAACTGAATATCTACTTAGAGAAGTCTAGCATGAAGCAATGGATTGTAATAGTTGTGTTATTTCCTTTGGGTAACAGATGAATCAAAATTTGCAGAGATTTGCAATTAAAAGGAAGACATGTTTCGGTTATCTTGTCATTCGAATAACCTACCTTCTGAGTAAAACCTACTTTAAAATATCAAGTTTAAATTTTAAAATGACTTACCTATTGAGCTTAGGAAGTTGAAAACATAACCGTTGAGTTCAGTAAATCTGAGTTCCTTGAGTTAATTGAAATATGAAATCTTATTTTACTTGTAACACAGCAATATTAAAAGTCCAAATATTCTAATGTTGAATATTTCTAGGAATACATTTCAAGTTACTAGTTAACCACCTCTGAGTTCCTACATAAAGCAGAAAAGGAATTCTTCAAATTAATAAAAACATTAGCATGATGCAAAACTTGCCTTTCCAGCAGCAAGTCTAATAGAGAAGCACCATTTATCTTTGTAGTGCACTAATTACTTCGTGTGGTCACACATGTGACGCTGCGTTCTCCAGACAACAGCCGTTGGAGTGTCTTTCTGTGGCAAACCACCTCCTTATGCTGGGAGATGACAGCATCATAAAGGGAAAGCTTTTGATAGTGCCATCTGTCAAACTGCCATGCTATAACCTTCCTCCTCAGGCTTCCAGTCTCTTTTGCTTTGCATTCTGGTAAGTTAGCCAGAAGAGGCTTCTTTGCCTCAGTTTCTTCCTCATAACACAGGACAGTGCAAAATGACCCTTAAAAAGAAAGAACTGCCCCTTCGAGTCTCAGTGTTCAAGTGATCCATAGTACCCTGTACTTTAGTGAGGTCAGCAAATAAAGAAAAAAAAAAGAAAGAAACATTCTTTTTTCAACATATCTCCAATAATTACTGTACCTCAGATATTCCCTTAGAAAATGGCTCTTCCATCAGTGGTTTATGTGGCACCATGTCTTGCCTCAAAGCAAAGTTAATTCCAACATAAATTGCAGAAGTGAATCCTGTCACTGGTGGGTTCAGATAACATGCTATCAGTTCTTCTTTGTGCATGATTTACAACATTGCTTGCCATAAAATTTGTGGTTACAGACACCATGCTGGGGTACCAGATGACACCAAGTGAAGAAATCCACACAAGAAGGATCATCTGAAGGAGAGAAATCCAAGCAAAATTGTAAGACTCCATTTTGGCAAGTATACAAGTCAAGCAATAGTTTCATACACTTGTATGCATTTGGTAATGTTAAAAACACAGTAAGTGACTCAGTTCCAAGAGGAGCTTTCTTTAGCTAAAATATACTAGTTTGCTTTTTAAGTTGTTAAGAGAGGTGATTAGTTTGTTAAGAGATCCAAATTGCTAATTTGCTAGACATAGAGCTGATATAATGATATGTCAGAGGTTACAGGAATTAAAAAACTGAGAGCCCAGGTTCAGGAATACAGGAAGCAATTCCTCTGTGGAGGATAGAAAAAATCATCTGTGTTTTTATTTCCAGTTACAAAAGTTGTTCTGAAGCCAGGAACTTGTACCAGGGAGCCTGCTCCAGGTATGCTGCTGACTGCTGCTTGCCACCAACATCCCATGGAGTCTACCTGTTCCTCTACACTTCAAGTGTGTAGCAGCCAGAGTGCAAGGATCCTGCTATGAACACACGTGCACACAGAGGGTTCTACTGTAGATTTGTGTTCCTACACTTGCTAGAGTGACTGCTTTCTCTGAGTGCGCAGGCAGCCCAAGAAATCTCTGCTTAGACACTTCAGTCGGGTGTCATGAATTGGGCTCTTAGCACTTCAGCTATGTTGGTGAAATCTTAACCGCACTGGGAAGAAAGACAGGCTGATAATGTTTAGTTCTGAAAAGCACAGCTTTTAATTACAAATATACTGTATTTTTCAATTAAGATTTTATTTCAATTAAATTTGCATACAGATCATTTATACACACAGCCTACTCACTTTAAAAATGTTTCATAGCTGCTCCTTTCCACAGTTCTGTAGTGGATGCTTTATGCTTCTTTAAAAGAGCAGAGTGATGATTCATATGGATGATTTATAAACAAACTCACCATGTCTGAGAGAGCAGTAAGACATTTAAATGAGGTTTAGCAAAATTTATAGCTAAACTGAAATCTCCTGTGAGCATGGGAAAAGATTCCATTCAACTCTCAGAACTACTGTTTACATGGTCAATAAAAGGAATTTACAAGGAGACAGTGAAGAAAAATCTAGCCACCATTGTCTGTGTTCTCGCATCAGCTTAGCTGAGTCACAGAAGATAAATGCTCCTTCACATAGCACAGACAACTCTGTCATAGTCTTTGGGCAAGGAGTGCTCTCTGTCTCTACAGGATCTTCTTTAGTCACCACTTTGCTTTTCTTGATTACATTTTATATGATGGCAAAGGTGATTTTGTATACCTCTATCACCCTCAAATTTATTTGAATAAATAAGAAAATAATTATTATTTTTTTAGAAAATATGCCATTTTATTCTTCAGGGTTTTTTTTTAAAATAAACTTGTCTGTAAATGCTAAAGAAAATACTGTCCTCGAACAAAGGGTTGTTCAGGAATTGGGAAAATGCACACAGCACAAAGTGCAGAAAGCTCTTCTGATTGAGACTTTAAACTACTGTTTAAAAAACTTTATAAGCACTAAGCAGGCAATGCTAGTAAGTCTTTCTGCCCCTTTTGAGCACTACAGTGCGGTGTGCTGACATGACAGTGGTAAGGCTAAAAACTTCACTCTTGGGACCTAATACAGAGACTGTTGAAACTAACGCAAATTGTTCCACAGATTTCAATGGATGTGGATCAAGCTGCCCTTTCCTTATTTCTGTTTACTCAAGTATTTATACTTGAGTTGTTTAAATTTTCATTCATTACAGGCAGTTGGATTTCCTCAGAGTTACGGTGACCGTAACTGCGTCTAACAGAGGGATGGAAATGACCCAGCTTGTCTAGGAAAGTGTGTAAACTCTCCCTGAAACATTAATTTCTTGACTGTGATCACTGAGCTGGAGCTACATGGCTGATAATAGTGACTCATTTGCTTCAATGTGATTCCAGCACAGCTGGTTCCCTCTCTTTTTGCTGGTTTAGACAGAAAGTTACAGAGCAGTGAACAGATAATTGATCTCTAGGGCCTGATGACCCAGTTATAATAAAGGAGAAAGGGCTCCTGCAGATGTGAGGAGAGACAGAAACAGGCCAAGGCAAAAATTAATAACAGACATTACTGCAGACATGAAATACAGCAGAGCAGAGCAAAGGTCAATGAAAAGTGCTTGCTGTGTCGTGACAGAAAGGGACATAATACAGAAACTCCAATGTACAGCAGAACTTTTTAGGAAGGCTAATCTGAAGTGTTAGGAACATTTACTTATAAAAATACAGAACTATTCACTTATCCCTTTCAGAGCCATTTAATCTATACATCCTTGTTTGTATTCAGGTCCCCTGATATATCAGTTTGATAACTACATGTCCTGAGATGATGCAGTAGAAGAGTCTGTTAAGAAACCTCTGGGTGTTCCGAAGTCTCTGTGCAGTGAATGGCAGCAGCTGGTGTCAAGGAGGAGGTGGCTGGCCAATGTCAGCTCACAGGATGCAAGGCCAGAGCTTGACCTTTGCTCCCATCTCTGTTACCACCTTTCTTTTGCAATTTGGCCTGGGTTTTACAGAGGCTACTTGCAGCTTCCAGGTTTAAAATCGTAACTAGACAGCTGATGTATGGTATTTTAGTGCTTCAGCAGACCTAGATAACTAGCATTATATGGGATAAACCTGGACCTCTATAATCCTTTTAAGTTAAGAAGGACTCACAAACCATAGCCAGCAAATATATGGGATGGGGCTAATGCACCACTTGCTTTCTGCTGTGGTTCTGAGAGAACTCCTCTGCTGTCACCCAGAGTGGCACAAACCCTCTTCTTTCTCCTGCTCTTCTAGAATTGCAAAACACATTGGAGAGGTGGAGTGGGACACAGTAGGCATAAAAATGGGGACAGACCTTAGCAGTGCTCCCTGACTGCACATCTTATGCTAATCAGAAGTAGTAGGAAGAGATGTACATTGTAGACAAAATGGTTTGGGATTCCCAGGACATGGTGCAATCTGGATTTTGGGCAGACTTCAAAAGGCTAAACCTCTGTGGCAAATTCACATTGCTTAGTTCAAAAATTACTATTATTAACCATAAAACAGTAACAGCATAGGATGTTTTTATGTTATACAACAAGATAGGATAAAGGTGAGGCTCAGAACCAAATGACCTTACTTTTTGACGAACTCTTTCTTTTTAGAACTCCTGTGTCAGTTATACTCTCAAGTGTGCTTTAAAAGAGTTCATTTTGAGAAGAGAGATGCTGTAGTATCAGATGGTAACTGTAAAGCTGGAAAGTCTGGGGGAAATTCGTTTATGAAGGAACATGCCAAATACAAATCCTCAGTGGGTGTAACTGGAAAAGGTGATTTTGCTGAATATAGAGTTCCAAGCAACCAACCCTGCTGCAGCATGTAGAGCTGGGGTTTACCTCTTTTCACAGGGATGGGGCAGAAGTTAGTGTTGCAGGCTCTCAGGACTGCTGGTTTCTGCTGGGGCAAGCACCCAGAAGCTGGTCTTCCATGGCGCAGGCACTGTACACTGCGGGTTTGCACTCCCCCTCCACATGTTACTGTGCACTGTGAAGAGGAAACAGTAAAAGCCGCTTTTCATTTACAGAGACTCTCTGGGAGCCCACAAAAGCTGAAGCAGTAACTTTCAGAGCCTTGGATGAGATTTTCAAAGCAATAGAGGTGAGGAAAGGATGTGTTGCTGTGCAGCAACCCCCATCAGGACCAGCTTTTCAGAGATGCATGCATCTGCTCTCCCTTCCAAAAGTTTGGTTATTTAAGGATTCGGCTGAAAATCTGGTTCCTTACTCAGGCATGGAGACAGACATGAAACATTGAAGAAAACCTGTTCCTGATTGTCTGCACCGATTTCTTTGAACTCTCAGCCTCTGGGACCAATTCTGCTGTCTGAACAGAGATAAAACTCCCATTGGAACCATAATTATAGCTGTATCTAGGGAAAACCACTATGCATTTGCAGGAAGATCTATGAAGTATTTAAAAGTTAATAAGCCTTTTACTTGTATGTGTTTCATGAAAAGTTGTCTTTAAGATAAATGTGATCATTTTCATCTGATTACAATTGTCAGGCATACATTGTTTCATGTAAATGTTATTAAATGAGTATGTGTCTTATTGATATATGACTCACGAAGTAGATAAGTTCCAGAAATACAGAAGCTTGTTTGCAAGAATGTAGAAACAAATATAGACTGATCCCGTAATTAATCATAGTATTTAGTGAATTCCAGGCAATCTGTGCAGATGCTCAAATACATTGTGCATATAGATATGCAATAGTTCAACCACAGTGCAGTTTGAAGAAGACTGAAAGTGTTGGAAAATGAGCGCGGAATGTAGTGCGTCTCAAGCATGAATAACATTTTTAGGTGACATTCTTCAGTTTCAGGACAAAGAAATGGGCTGCACCAAAGTATATGATGAATGTGGACCAGCTGCACCATGTTTCAGCAGCTGAGTGGTACATCTTTCTTTAGAGAATAGGTACATGCAGGAGACACCTGTAGACCACTAGTACTGGAGCCGTCTCCTCCATACAATTGGATATTTGACTACAGCACAAAGTAAGACCAGTGACAGCTTTTATTTAGGTAGCTTGGTGTTTGTGCCATCCCAGCTTTAGTGCTTGTTCTGTGGTATATGGTACCACAGCTTTCCTAGGTTTGGTGCTCCCTAAGTCCAGCACTGCAAGCAACTTTTAATTACAGTGGATGCAGCGTCCAAGAGCCACACTGCAGTTATTTTGTTCTCTAATGATGCATAGTGAAAAGCACTAGGGGTTCCTACTTGAGCTACTGTGTAGAAAAACACTCTCCTTTTATAAGCCCTGTAAAAGTCAAGACATGAAATAGTGCTGGACAGAGTGCTAGCTGGGACAGGGAGAGAAGTGGGAAAGTTTCCCATTCGTACCTGCTGCCAGGGTGAGGAATACCAGCCAGACACCATGTTATACAGCATTTGCGATGGACAGGCTCCCTTGTTACAAGCTTCTTCCAGGTTAGTGCTTGGTTTTTTGATGTTTCTACATCTTCTCTGAGGAAAGGTGATCAATTTCCCATGCATGGTTTTCTCTCCACATTTTAGTTCTCGTTTTTGTACACCTGGGCCACAGGAGACTGAGCACTGCAAGGGCAAAGTATACTGTTTAAAGGAGCACATGCAGATAAAGGAGACTATGCTATGTGCCAGAGACCCCCAGTTATGCAAAAGTACAGAAGCAGTATGTAACTAAACCCACAAAGACCATATTCCATAATGTGTAAAATGAAATACGAATCTGAGTCAGAGAAAGTCCTGAAAGACAAAGACATTGGGGTACATCTAACTGCAGTTGTATATAAAGAACTATGTTTCTACAGCTGCTTGCCTAGCACACCTGATTCAAAAATGTCAGCTCAGCTTTTCCCCCACAGGATTTGTGCATGTCCCTGAGTCAATATTTCCAAGAGCAGCCAAGCCATGTAACCACACTGCTTTACCTCACTCCAGGAAGAAACCA